TGACCAGCAATTTGAAAACCGTCAGGCTGTGTCATGAAGACATCCTCTTTAAGGTTCCCGTTAAGGAAAGCCGTCTTGACGTCCATCTGCCAAATTTCGTAATCGTAATAGGCTGCAATCGCAAGCATTATCCGAATGGATTTCAGCATAACAACTGGAGAAAAGGTTTCATCATAGTCAATTCCGTGGATTTGTCTATAACCTTTTGCTACCAATCTAGCTTTGAAGGTATGAACCTTCCCGTCTACGTCTGTCTTCTTTTTGAAGACCCACTTGCACCCAATGGGTTTTACCCCTTCGGGCGCATCAACCAAGGTCCAGATTTGGTTTGTGTACATAGACTCCATTTCAGATTTCATGGCTTCGAGCCATAGATCGGATTCGGGGCATGTAATTGCCTCGAGATAGGTCTCTGGTTCGCCTTGATCTACCAACAAGACGTCACCTTCATCAGACATGAGAAATCCATATCTGACCGGAGAATTACGTATCCGGTCTGACCTACGTGGTATATCTTGAGCAATTTGAGGTTCAATTGCTTGATCTCTTTGCTCATGTTCCAACACTATCGGGACTTCTTCCTGTGGTTCTCGAATGTAATATTTCTTCTACGTGGTATATCTTGAGCAATTAGAGTTCTTATCAGTTTAATATCTGATATATGGGCCATTGGCTCATACGATATTAACTCTATTTTTTAAGGGGGAAGGCTCATCAAAGGCAGCTTGCTGTCTTGGGCTTTCAAGCGTCGCCTAGGTCTTGCACTACTGTCTTGGCCCGGCGCACCCCACCAAACCTCAAATTAACATTTATTTTCATTTTAGTCTTTATTGAAGCACAACTACTTTTATTTGTTTTTGTAATTTCTAACCTCGCATAAACATATTGCTTGATGTGTTAAAACAAACAAATCAAGCTATGATAATTTTTATGAGCAGAGGCAACTTTTGATACATTAAAGAAGTGAATAAGTGGAAGTATTGGTTTGTAATTAGTTATACACTAATATTTGTATTAAATGATTTGTTGTGAATTTTGGTCAAATATTGTATAGCTTGGAGTGAAGTTAAACAAGGGATGAACAGATTTTTTTTTTGCCATATATGAACTCTCCATGAGAACATACAAAAATTTTCAACCGAAAACTAGTTGAACTCCTAATTTGGGCACAATTTTGGACATATATACTCTGGGATTAAAATAGATGCACTTTAATCCGCATGAATGTACAATATATAGTACGAGAGGCATACGGTGTATCTAGCCTTCATCGAAGATATTAACTTAGATAGGAGTATTCAGAAAGTTTTGATTATGGTAAGTTGGATAGTTGTCTAGGCCTTGGTGGTGGTGTTTGCTTTTGTCCTTTAACGTTCACTCCGGAGACTCTCACACCTCGACCTGACAAGATTGTGAGGGGATAAATCATGATATAATCTCAATTTGATCCTTAGATAGGTCGCCCAGTGCGCACAATCACTCTCACACTGTCGCTGCCGGAATTCAATCCTCAGATCAACGGGTTTCAAATCCTCTCCTTAGACCAGTTCAGCTATGCATGCGGTTGTGTTTGCTATTGTCTGTCTGTGTGCTTGTGTGTCGAGTGTCTAGTATTTTTCCCGTGCTTCCCACGGGCCCATATATTCTTAAATAAAATATATCTAAAAGTTTTATAATTCATTTTTAAAAAATGTGAAATCAAAACTAAATTGGAATATGTATTAAAGTCGCTATGCTACACTGCATTATCAATATATAAAACATGTAAGTATATTTTATACACGCGTGTACACATGAAAAAAATTCTTTTGATATTTCTTAGGTGTGTACACATAAAATTGTAATATTCTTATGTAAAATATATATATATATATATATATATATATATATATATATATATATATATATATATATATATATATATATATATATATATTTTATATGTCAGTTTTTTTAAAAAATGAAATCTAAAATTAATTTGTGCTTCATAAGGGTGGATGCAGTCCATGATGGTTCGTGATACTACCAAAACCTATCACGGAAAATATATCAATGAACTTTATATTTCATATTTAGAAAAATGTGAAATTGAAAATAAATTTGTGCTTCACACGGACTCGTATATTCTTACGTTATATATATATATATATATATATATATACATATATATATATAGATTTTGGTTCTGGTGAGAATGCAATCTTAGGAGAGAAATGAGAATGAATCTGATACTTTAGATTGTGAGATCTAAGGGTCAAGATTTCATCAAAATTAGATGCACCAAAATGGTTCGAAAATGCATCACGCCGAAATGCACCATAAACCTTCGAAAATGCACTATCTCAAAATCTGAGCGCAGGATGCAATCTGAGCCGCACGATGCATCAGATCTGACGGCTAGATTTTATTCTCATTTCTCTCCACAAGGTGCATTCTCACGGGAACCGGCCCCTATATATATATATATATATATATATATATATATATATATATATATATTTTATATTTCATTTGTAAAAAATGTGAAATTAAAAATAAATTTGAATATGTATTAAAGTCGCTAACTTGCTATGCTACTCTCAATATATAAAACATGTAAGAATATTTTATACATGTGTGAACACATGAAAAAATTCTTTTCACCTACTTAATGTGACCCTCTAAACTTCTTATTTCTAAGATCTATTAATATTTCTCAACTAAATGGTTGAACTCATTTCAACCTCATCAATATCTATTATGCTTTTATACAATTTAACTCACCCAAATATATATTTTTTATTGATAATTTTTAAATATAATGTTTTTTGTTAGAGTATGAAAAATTACTTTTACAAATTTCAAACTATTTTTGTACACGAAATTTACTAATTTTGAAATAGTCACAAAATAGAATTAATAGTTACATAGAAAATGAGTTATCAATATATCCAAAATATAATAAGATAAAGATACAAACCTAAATGCATTTGTGAATTGAATAAAATCATAAACATGTTGACTTAAAGTCATAATTTTAAAATCAATCATACACTAAATTAATCCCTACTTGGTATTTTAAAATGAGAAACATACATATATTGAAATAAAAAACAATTATTCCAAACTTTCCTCAAATTAAATATACTCTGTATTTTCTATCGCATATATCTTATAAATATTTTTAATAATATAAAAGCAAATTATATATAACAATATATATATATATTAAAAACATTATATTTAGAAAGTAAAAAGATATAAAATTGTGTAGACACTATTTTTTTATTTTTGTGAACATGACCTTTCAATGCATGTTTAAATGTCTTTACAATTATTTGCATTTTACATTAATAATTAAGAAGTAGCCATGTGGTATCCAAGTGGACAAATGAAAAGATAACATCTTTAAAGCCTAGCTTATGTGGCGTGACACATGGCGCAACTACATTTAATCCGCTCCACTTTATATATACAACTAGTTTTTAACCCCGTGCTTCGCACGGGCTTGGGTTATGTGCAAGTGATATTTGTAGTTATTGAATTTTAGGTGTGTGTAGGGGCTTAACATTTGTGTAAGGTATAATTTGAGCAAGTTGAGTGAAATGAGATAAGAATTTAATACCTCACTATGTAAATGGTGAAATATAGAGGCCTTTTAAAACTTAAGCATACGGGTATTGCCCTAAGAAGCTGAAAAGACCTACACTTCAAGCTAATTTGCTTCCAAAAGATAAGGTTCAGATTCTCAAGTGACATCCTCCGGAAAACTAAATGTAGATGCTGCAAAGTTGGATCCTACCACTCCCAGTCTCTTATGGGGCTGCCATCCACTAAAATTCTTATAGGATATTGTACCTGCAAAAAGTTTATTTCTTCAACAGCTCGGACCCTTTCATTGTTGAATGCTTAGGAGTCTCGGAGGTGGTAGCATTGCACCAAAATTTACATATATATAACTTGAGGTGGAGATCTTCTTCATAAGCATTTGAGAAACAACAGGTCTAGTTTTTCTTTAATAACCGGTAGGAGCAATAGAACATAGATCAATTTTTGTTAAACTACACCAATATAATGTACATAAACACCATTGTTTAGAGAAAAAATAGTACACAGACCAAAAATTAGCTTTCTAAATGTTCATTTATTCAATCATATTAAGTTTTAAGCACATCACCAGTTTAGGAGCATAAAATATCATGTAATTCAACCAAAATAATGCAGCTTTTTTTCAAAAAACAGCCTGGAACGTAAATGATTTTGGAAAAAACAGCATACAATGCTTTCTAAATCAGTGCATATATGGTGTGCAGATTAAAATATACAAAACAGAACGTATTTCATTTAAAATATAGCATATATGATCAGTAGCAATAAAAAATCAGTTAAATGCTAAAAATAGTGTTCAAAATGGGTTTTCTCTCTCAAAATATAGCACTGAAAATTCACAAAATCCAACTAATGGAGAACTTTAAGCATCAATATAAACACACATGTGAAGGCCGAACATTAAAAATCCATTTAAAGATCACCCAAAAGTTACACTTAATGCCATCCTAATTTTCTTTTAGGCCATAATGAGGTGGATTTGTATTGCTAAATTTACACTCATTGCAGTTATGCCGTTTGAATTGGACAAATGGATTGTATCATAAACATGTTTGATATCAATGAGTATCATAAACATGTTTGATATCAATGTTTGAATTGGACAAAGTAATTCCTAATGAACACCTAATGGAAATCACCGGATTATCATTATGATCATAGAATAGAATTGTACCTCGAAATATGTGTTTGAGGCACCACTCATTTCAATGCAAATCCTTGACCATCAACTTAGCTATGTGTTTTGCTAAAATGAAAGTAACAAAATATTTTATTTTAGAAAAAGGCACAGATGTAAATCATTTCATCCAATTAAACATTTCAAGTGTTCTTCAAAACATGCCCTTAAAGTGAAAAACCCTAATGAAAATGTGTAAACTCAGTTTTCTATCTATTGTACAACCAAATCAAAAGCTTACCTTAGCACATAACACATAAATCACAAATTCTAATTGTATCAAAGGTTTTAAGTACACAATAACAATTCACCTTTGTACTCTACCAGCTACAAACCAAAAAATCTCTTTTGGGGCACAACTCACTTCCATTAAACACAATATAGAGATTTTTTAAAGCACACAGAAACCTAACAAAAACCCATACCAACACATCCGAGCACAATTCTTCATAAGGATGACTTGAAGAAACCTCCATCCAATTTGAATCACTACAATAATTAATAATTACAATTAACACAACAATTTTATAAGTAAATAGCTTAAATTTCACCATCACTTTTAGATGTCCCTTTATTTTGATTAATTTCACACATATTAAGATAGAGTAACATGCATACACTCATCAAAATCAAAGCATATAATCAAGGGTGCACACTGCAAGGAAGAATATCCTCAATATCATGATATTTAAAACATCACATAGCCAGTTATTGGTGTTACCCTAACAATGTTTAATCCCTTGTGAGTTTGTGTTGCTGTAAAATTTAATATCATAGGCAAGTCCATCATGGCTTTGATACCTGAAACCACAAAATAGACTCTGCAAATGGTGTTAACAACCTAAAAATCACCATTTCATAATCATTTGTCAATAAGAGATAAAAAAGAAGAAAACATGACATGTGATACTTTGATAAATAGCAAACCTACAACAATGTAAAAACTAAGATATAAAATCATTTATTTACATTATGCATTTTTACACCATAATTTATACTGAGTATAATAAGTGTAAATAAATATTAAAAAAACTTACAATTAGGTGATAGGGTAAAAATAAAGGAGATGGGTTTGAAGGTTGCAAGATTCCATCATTCCGATGACTGATAGGGTAGCTTCATCATTTGCCTATGAAAAATGAAAGAGAACATTGAATCGTTGGTTAAGAAATGAGTCTATATTAGTCTATATCTGAGTATTTTATAATCCTAAAACAACCCATTATGGAAGTGAAATCCTAACACAACCCATTTTTATCCATTTAACTAAACAGTTTATGGAAGTGAAATGACATCCTAAAACTTACCTAGCAACTAAAATAGGCAGGCCATACATAGGCGGGGGCAATATTCTAATTGGTTGGGAGTATGTGACTTATGTTCTCAAGAAAGGTTGTCATCTTCTCTAATTTGATCATTGAGCGTGTAACTAAGTCATGAGATTAATAGCGTTTTTGAACCTACATATAATTGCTAACACCAAAGATTATACAACCACCTGGTGGGAGCACTAATAGACAATCTTATGTCATGACACCTACGGAACAGTAAGTTAATAATTGCTTTCATGTAATGGAACCTAGCAAACTCAAGTGAACACTTAATGATTGAATCTGCAAGTTGTAACCATCAGAATATAAGATATGATTTTTTTATAAGAATAAAAAGCTCAACTGGGCACTAATCCGTTCATCAATTTTTTTTTCAGCCTCGAGTTTCTTCTCTAGTTTAGATATTTGTTGCATGTGCCCATCATATAGCTTATACAATAGAAACTCAATACTTATAACTCCAAAGGTAACATGAACTTTCTTCGTGTGCTTTCTTCAGAATTCCCTGTTGCATAAAAAGCGAAAAATAATAAAGAGTGAGAATAATACATTTGGTATTGGTCAACACTCAATCCTAAATAAATTTCAAATCTTAAACTAAAAGAAGATTAATCATATCTACGAAGTGAAGGTAACTTGGAATTAACCTAATATACTGAGCATATATACATTTGTATGTATAAAAATTTTTAAGGAGCATTATCGTACTTTTTAAAACAATGGATCAATTAATACAAATTCCATGTGCTGACGTGATTTGTCATAGCGACATTATTAGCTCACATTTGTAGTACACAATCTGTTTGTTTTGATCCTAGTATCCTACCGTGCTAAACATGAATCTTAAACAAACAAAGCATAAGGAAACATAGCATAGCTAAAATGAGATGCTCATTGTGCAATTTCATTTCATGTGTATTTATGCTATCTACTCGTTGCTTCGTACTTGAGACAAACAACGGATGAATCTTCTGAATGTCGTGAACCACATGTAATTAAAATGAATACTTGATGTTATAACTTCATAATAAAACATTTGTGAAAAAACTATTGGAGTAGCTTGGTGGTGGAAGGTCCACCTCACTAATAAAAGACCTACGGCTCAACTCACTACTAAAAGATTTGGAGTTATAGGAAGAACAATGATATAATCTAATAAAAATAAAGAATTATGCCCCAAAAATTAAATTCCAAAAAAGTATGAAAATATTACCGGCCAAATGAAAGGAGGAGAAGTGAAGTTCTGGGGTCATGGAGAAAAGAAGCATCTCCTGATCTCTAGCTATTTAGTGTAGGAGGCATGCCGATCTTGCAGGTATAATTATAATTATTGTTGTACCTGTGGGAACTTATTTGGATGTTGGCATGTCGCTTTGTCCATCTCTGACACCACCTTCATTGTTTTCGTCATTAATCCTACGTGCCTACTAAAAACACTTAAAGCTCATCAGTAAAATCATCATTTTTTTGTTGATAAAAGTACCAAATCTTTGGAGATCTAAGATTAAACTGGATTTACTTATTGAGATATATACAAGTCGAAGATAACTATTAACTCCAAAATAAGATGTCTATGACCAAAATGTAAATATGCATGTTAAAAAATAATGAATTTGTGATTGGAAGGGAAGATCACGGAATAATTAATTTCAATTAAGAAACTCATATTTAGCGAGCTTAGAGAGCTTCTGTAAACTTTGATGAATCCGTAGCCTATTCTTCAAAGCTCTTTTGTTGATCTCCAAGAAATTGATGAAAATCACTTTCTATTATATAAGCCTGCAAGTTGTTACAGCGGGACCATTAAATTTAATTAAATTCACCAACCTCACCTCTCCTCATAGAAAAGCTCTTGACCCTCAATAGAACCGTCCAACTGCACAAAAAAAGGATAATGAAAATAATAAATATGGGACGTGTAGTAGGGAAATTAAGAAATCAAGTAAAACCCACCAATTTGAGTATTTATATGAACATATATTGAAGAAATGTCAAAGAACACGAATAAGGTTAAATACTCTGGATCAAATTAGAGAAATCAACTATGAAATTGAACCAAATTTAGATATATCAAATAATTAAATTTCCAAAAACAGTTATCAGATCGCACGTTCGAAACAAATAATTAGTGGAACCCCAAGTTATAGTTTGAGCATCAGAATTGATGGAGAAGAAGCTGGAGTTGTGTTTGTCCGACCTTGGAGCTTTGTTCATCGCAAGTTACGAAAGACTCTCCCCGAAGAGCTATGTTTCCTGCAGAATTGTTCAGAGCAGCATAGGTCAACCCCCTGTTCAAAATGTTGACAGAATCAGGAAGACATGATGATAATAAAAGGACTTGTTATTAGGTACAAGCAAATAACTATTATTTTTCTTTGCAGTTCTATGGGCAACTCCTACACTCCACTCTGTATTAATAACATAAAAGATTAAAGTTAAAGCAAATACACTAAGCAAGGAAAAAAATGGAAGTTAAAGAAAATACCTAAGCAAGG